AGTCATTTCTCTAGAATTTTCTACATTGTTAGAATCTTCTAAGGACTTTCCTAGCAATTCCATAGGATTCTAAGGTCTTCCATGAGAAATCTCCATATTTCTCTAGAACCATCCCACATGTGCTAGTCTATTTCATATGTAAGTTTTTCATATGACAAAAATATATGCCAAGTAGCACCTGCGTGGCATGATGATGTGGTGGGCCATGACACTCTCCCCCACCCAATTTTGTGCCGCCCTCGGTACAAAGCATCGACACGTACGCGTGCACCTCGCCTTGATATCGCCGGAGTTCTTTGTCCATTAGCCATGATGCCCTATGGAGTGGTTCGCCTTCCCATGTTACAAGGTACTGGTCGCCTTTCTTCTTGCTTCGTTTGTACTTTGGACGGCTAGCAATGATGGCCTCGTTCCTCCGCCCATCGGATGCCTCTCCTTGCTCTTGGCCTGAATCTCCCCATGACTCAACCAAGACTAGTAGCTTCTCAAGCATCGGATCCATACTTTCACTCCCTATTTGGCTGACCTCCATGGTCCCAGCCTTGCTAGCAAACTTGACCCTATGCTTGGCGCATCGTCTAAGTCCGATAACGTGCCATCACTTTATAACTTGCCATCCTATTCAACTATGTCCGCCTAACTTTTTTTGCTAGCATCATGCTCCATTTGCATGGTGCCAAGATAGTCTTTGGAGTCCCCTACTTTCAGCTTAGATTCCAAGTGCATCCCCCTAGTGCAGACGGTCCCTTCTGTGTCACCCTTGTGTGCCTGAGAAAAGTTCCCGATCATTGCTGCAAGCTTCCCTAACTCTGGCATTCACTTGCCCGATGTGATCCTTTACAGAAGTAGCACCCTCCCTTAGGCACGTACTCGCTGTCGTTTTACGGCCCCTTGTCGTTTCTCTTGGACCCTTGTCCGTTATGGGATGGCCCCTTACCATTACCCTTGTATACCTCGGCTATGCCTTTCCCGTTGTCCTTATCATGATCTCCCCCACCCTCCTCGGCATTGCCTTCTTTGGACTTGGTAGGCTCTATCTTGAAGTCAACGAGCGACTTGGCTACTGCTATGGTCTCGTCCACGTTGGCTACTTTATGTCTTCTTAACTCCTGTTTTGCCTAATTTTGCAACCCATCCATGAAGTAGAAGAGGGAATCTCCCTCGGAAAATGACGGGATTTGAAGCATTAAGGTAGTGAACTCGCGCACACACTCCCGAATTGTGGCCATCCGCCAGAGCTTACTTAGCTTCCGCCTAGCTTCTTACACCACATTCATCGGGTAGAATTGCTTTTTCAACTTCTTGTTGAACTGCTCCCACGTCTCAATCTTGCATATCCCCTTCTCCATGTAAGCATACTTTCGACTCCACCATAGCGCGGCAACCTCAGTCAAGTACATTGAAGCGTTGTGTACCTTAACAACTTTGTCATCCTCTTTGACTACCTCAAAGTACTTTTCCATCCTCCAAAGTAAGTCGTCGACCTCGCGTGCGTCCCGTGCACCGCCATACTCCTTTTGCTTAGGGACCTTCACATTTGTCCCTTTTGCAAGTACCACACCCTTGGTAATCCCGATCATGGTTCCCTACAAATCTTCCTTCTAGCAATCTCTTGTATTCTAACATTCCTTTAGTCATAAACTTTGTTCTGATACCACATTTTTTTATGTCCTTAGTTGTTAACTAAGTACACGTGTGGCATTTAAAAACTCTCTCAAGATCTTGCACAACTTGCTCATATTCTTGCTACGCCAAGTTAGTCTTACTACACTCAAGATCGCTAAGGGAATGTTAGAAAGAACACAAGAGAATTGCTAAAAGAAGCTTTGTATTAGAGAGAATTTGAATTGTTTGCTTGATGAGTTACAAATGAATATCCCCCTTTATATACTAGTCTCCTATGGACTAGTGAGTAAATAAAAATTATTACACAAGTCCCTTATTATTTACAAGTAAGTACATTCTCTAGAATTTTCTACATAGCTAGAATCTTCTAAGGACTTTCCTAGCAATTTCATAGTATTCTAAGGTCTTTCATGAGAAATCTCCATATTTCTCTAGAATCTTCCTACGTGTGCTAGTCTATTTTATATGTAAACTTTTCATATGGTAAAAATATATACTAAGTAACATTTACGTGGCATGATGATGTGGCGGACCATGACATTACACTTGAAAATGGAACACTTAAACACTCCTTTTGGGCGAAGTCAATTTCAAAGGTAAATACAAAGGGACAATCCCAAAATGGCTAATACTGCCTACTATGTAACGTTGGCTATTTTGGTTTCTACTTGCTACACGTAAAATCAACAAACAATTAACCAACAAATTTTAAATGATGGCCACCACATAGGCCAAACTGAGAACAATTCAATCTAAACTTTTTTCTCGTAAATTGTAATATTATGTTTTTGTATTTTACTTAATCATTCTTTCATTACCTCGTTGGTTATTTTGGCGGCTTAGTTGCTAGTTGCTACCTGAGAAGTTGCCCGTAAAATAGCAATAAGTGTTATAGCGGAGTGTTAAAAATTCATCCATCTTTAACTAGAAGTTTCGAGTTCGAGTCCTACGTATAGAGTCGTCTTCGTCAAGAAAATTATTTACCCAAAAATTTAGATTTTTTTATGCGAATTTAAATTCAGTCATGTCAATGTGGGTACTGAATACTGAGTGAAAAGCCAAAGAAAGAAGTTACTTCCTCCGTTCACTTTTACTTGTTCACTATACTGAAAATATATTTTCACTTTTACTTGTCCACTATACTAAAATATATTATACTAAATTAATATGAGTATCATGGTAAATTATGAACTTTATTTATTATTTCTTAAGGAGTATACAAAGTTAATAGTGGACAAATAAAAGTGAATGAAAAAATATTTATTAAGGGTAAAATTATAAAATACATACTTCATTTATTTTTTTTAAAAATAAGTATAAAAATAAAATCAAAAGTTAACAACTAAAAGTGAACGAAATGAGTGACTTGCAATAGAATTTATGGTAGTTGAGATGAATAGGGTGGCATAAAAGCTATGCAAATAATTAGTCAAAGTTTTCCAATGCTTCCTACTCTGTGTCCATAAATACGATCTCATCAAGATCTCAACAACTTCTTGTTCCATTCCTTTAATCCCACATGCAATCTTTCATTCCCCTTTGCTCTTACAAATTGAGCAACTTTAGTATTAGATAGAATTTTACGTATCTTTAAAATTTAACTCTACGATAGTATGTTAATTTTTGTTTTTACTAGATTATCAGTTAATGTTTATCGTAAAAATTTATATATACTAAATTCCTAAGCGACCTGATTTATTAATATTTTTTGCAATGTTAGTGCGTAGGACTTGAATTTCTAATTAACCATGTTGTAGATAAATAATATAATTCATGCACAAAGTTCATTTCCTTTTTTTTTTCCCAATATAATATGGTTGTCTTAGGCAGTGTTTTAAAAGGCATTTTCGGAGAGAGCTCTGGGGCGAGGCGCACCAAAAATACCCCGGGGCGATGGTGTGGGGCGAAAGTCTCAAGAGGCGTACGCCCGGGCGTTCGGGGCGAGTTTTTTTAGTGAGGCGTAAGACCGAGAAATTTTTTCAAATTAAAACAAAATTTGTTGAATAAGTCCTTCATATAATACATAAATTTTCAAAATTCAGCTTGGTAATTACTCAAAAGTTTTAAAAAGAAATTAAAATGTATTAAATTTAAAAGTAAAGACCTTTTTTATTGATTGAAGCCCCAATTCATGGTCTTCCCCAATTCTTTATCTTGTCCGCTAGTCTGCTAATATCTCCCAAAGATAACGAATATTTAATTTTTTTTACAAATACAAAGAGAACTCTATTCTCCTTCGTAGCAGCAAATTCAAAGTTCAAATTGAAGGTTAGTCATCATTTTTGTTCCTCCAGGTATAAAACTTTATTCTTTTCGACTCAAGTTACTTGAGCTTCTAAGTAACGTACAATAGATTGTTTTGACTAATTTTTTGTGGGGATGAAGCACATCAATATATATATATATTTCAAATATTTATAGTTTTCTTCA